CAAATGAACTGGGGGAGGTCGAGCTATCCAGGGGAGCCCCTGTGGGGAGTCTCAGAGTCCCCTCCCCTTTGCCACTTTGCCCACCTCCTCCCCCCTTTCCCCTGCCTGTCTTTAGCTGAAGCAGTCTCTGGGTCTCCTCTCTGCAGCTGCTGTGCTTGGAGGCTTTAACAACTTGTGGCATTTTTGGTGCCAGCAGCACCAACTCATTCTCAAACCCTCAGTTCCCAGTGAAGCGGGGACAAAGGAGCACCTGATGTGGGGGGGGGACCCTTCACCCCTGGGTCTATGAATGACCCCAGCAGGGGCTTCTGCCTCACCTCCTCTTCTCTTCCATTCCACAATAAAAGCTAGATTTGGAGTCTCAACCCCCCTCACCCTGGTACCCATGTGTCACTCATTAAATCTCCCTACTTCCTTTGGTTCACCTCCTCTCATCATGAAGCTTTCTGAATTCCAAAGCACTGGATCAAGGAGGGAGCTGGAGAGATAAGTAACTGAGGGATCAAGCGGGAGAGATCAGTGTCTGGCACATAGTAGGTGCTTAATAAATGTTTATTGATTGGTTGAGGGTTGAAGAGGGAATCAGAAGTTCTTGATTTTAGCATGTGCCTTCGACCAGGCATTTATTCATTCATTCTTTCAACAAGCATTTATTAAGGGCTTACTGTTTGCCTGGCATTGTTTTATGAGCTGGGGGGCGTAGTTGTTCATTCGTTTCAGTTGTGTCCTATGCTTCTTGATCTCATTTGGGGTTTTGTGGGTGAATATACTGGAGTGGTTTGCCATTTCCTTCTTCAGCTCATGTTACAGATGAAGAAACTGAGGCAAACATGATGCAGTGACTTGCCCAGGGTCACACAGCTAGTGTCTGAGGTTGGATTGAACTTGGATCTTCCTGACTCCAGGCCAGGTGCTCTGTTCACTGTACCACCTAGTAATACAAAGATGTAAAGCTAAATCAAACAGTCTCTGCCCTCAAGTATGATTTTTTTTTTGGTGAGGCAATCGGGGTTAAGTGACTTGCCCAGGGTCACACAGCTAGTGAGTGTTATGCGTCTGATGCCGGATTTGAACTCAGGTCCTCCTGACTCCAGGGCTGGTGCTCTATCCACTGTGCCATGTAACTGCCCCAGTCCCTGCCCTCAAGAGCTTACATTTTATGCCCAAAATGGAGAGAACCCCTTGAACTGCTCCCATAGTTTCATACTTCCCCAAACATTTTTCCATCTGCACTCTCATCTAGTTCCCACAACCATCCTAGGACTTAGGCATGGCATGAATTATCCCCATTTGACAGATGAAGAAATGGAGGCCTATTGGCCAGGAGCCAGGAAGCCAAACTTGCTTCTACCATCCATTAAACAACTATTCCACCTCCAGTCTCCATTCCTAACTGCAGGGACTCCTACTCCTCTCAGTTATTTCCCTTCTTTCTTTCTAAAGGGGATTTTTTTTTTTTTTTGCTTTGTGGTGAGGCAATTGGGGTTAAGTGACTTGCCCAGAGTCACACAGCTAGTGTCATGTGTCTGAGACTGGATTTAAACTCAGGTCCTCCAGACTCCAAGACTGGAGCTCTATCCACTGCGCCACCTAAAGGGGAATTTTCTAAGTGAGATTCAGTAGGTCTTCTAGATCAGCAATGAGAACAGAGGCAGGAGGATATCTAGAATGACCTTTCAAGATCGTGCACAACAACCATCCTCAGGTCTCTCCTACCCTTTTGCCCTGAGACAATGTTACAGCAACACCTCATTTTGTCACTGAAATCCAAGGCCCAGTATTTAGTTCTGATCCTTGGCACTCAGCCTAGCATTTTCCTCTCATGTCTGACACTTATTCTCCCAGCCTGAGACTTACCCACTATGGCTGAGACTTATCTATCTACCCCTGACACATCCCCCATTCTTGACACATTCTCCATCCCTTATGTTTATCCCACATTACCTGAACCCATTCCTCTAATACATGAATACAGGAAAAATATCAGTTTTATGAGTGTGGGAGGAACTTCCAGCTTGGAAACTCCCTGGAAAGCAAACAGTAGCCTGTGATTTAGAAGTCATAGGCAGTGACTTAAAGCAGGTAGTGGTTAAATAACTTGTCCAGGGTAAGGCAGCTAGTGTCAGATATAGGATTTTTTAACCCTTGAGTTTCATGAGGAAGAAAAGTTTAACTGACTCATGGCATGCAAACCCATCTAAGAAATCTTCCTGATTCCAAGCCTGACTTGATCCACTATGCTGCCTCTATGGTCACCTAAAACTTGAAATTTATTTGCCATCCTTAATACTTATTCCCTGCCCACCCTACTTTTGACCTTTATCTCTGAATTTCTGACATTTTTCCCTATCCTTGAAACTGATTATCTGTCTTTTGATGCTTGTCTCTCTTTTCCTAACATCCCCCATTTTAGACACCCACATCTCCACTGCCTGCCTTCCTTCTGCTTTTCCCTGCTCCATTCCCCACTTCCTTACCCATCTCCATATCTCTGATACTTATCTACATCTTTGACCGTTATCTCCTGTTTCTGACAATTACTTCTTCACTCGGTTCTTAGCCCTCATCCTGGATACTTATCCCTCATTCCTGACACTTATCTCTCAGTTCCTGACACAGATTCCTCACCTCTGAGTCTCATGCTTTGTGTTTGACACTCGTCCTCTCCCTGACACTAATTCCCTATTCCTGACGTTTATCTGTTCCTTCTTCTTCTGTCTCAGACACATCCCCAAGCCCCAGCATATCCCCATATCCTTGACACTTGTCCTTTGACTCTGACACTTATCCCCATCCTTGAGATTTATGTCCCACTCCCTGATACTAAACTTTCCATCCCAGACACAGTCCCCCTCCCCTCTCCTATTTTCATCAACAAGCTTGCACATCCTTGGCATTCAAGCTTTATTTACTCCTGACACAGTGGCTTCTTATCTCTGACTTTTAGCCACCCAACAATTGATCAATTAATTGCCAATTTATAGAGCTCCTACTATGTGGAAAGGATACGGAGAAGGTGGAAGTATATAACCTGGCCCTTGCTTTCAAGGAGGTTACAAGTTAGGGGGAGACAACAAAGAAACACATGGAACAGGATCAAATAATACAAAATGGTATATGATGAAATGCTCCATTGGGCAGTACTGTTGAAATTTGTACAAGGACACTATGGGATATGTAGTCAGAGGGACTGCTTCATAGAAAGTATGAGATCTGGGATGGAACTTAAATCATGAGCCCTATTTGACCATGAGGCTTTAGATTCAGAAGTGGAAAGATGCTTAGAAGTCATCTAGTCCAACTGTCTTATTTTACAAAGGAGGTTACTGAGATCCAGAGAAGTTGGGACTTGCGTGAAGTAAGTGACTTGTCCCAGTTTATGTTGTTTGTTGGTATTTGTTCTTCGTTCTCCAAGAGGACCATGACATCAGAAAGGTAATGCCATGACATTCAAGTGAATTGGATTTAAGTGAAGGAGGGTTATGCAAAGTCACCAGCCTCACTCTCTCCTCCGGAGCCATCTGGGTCCAGTGGCCAGATAGTGATCAGGACAACTGGAGATGTTCCCCCCACCCCCAGTTACGTAGGTAACAAGTGACAGACCTGGTATATGAACTCCTGTCCTCTCCAAATCCAGTGGAGCTCCTAGTGGAGGAGAGGACGAGGAGAGAATAATAAAGCTACTGACACTTAGTAGCTGCTCAATAAATATTTGCTGAATGAATGACATGACATGACACAAGGGAAGACTTAGAGGTGGCTTAGACATGACATCTTCTAGAGATAGTAAAGATACTTGCCTAACTAGAATAGGATGTCAATGTTTAGGAATAGAAAGACATACAGTATGATTAGAGGTATCCAGCCCTAGTGGTTGAAAGTGCCAGACTTGGAGTCTGGAAGACCTGGGTCCAAATTCTATCATCTGATACTAGATGTGTGACCACAGGTAAATCATTTAAATCTTTCTGAGCCTCAGGTAGCTCTTTAAAGCTATATAGCCAGATTATAGTTCTTGAAGTATTGACCTCGAAAATTGGAGGGGTAGAGTAGGAGGACAGACGGCAGATGGCTGAGGGAGGTAGGTAGGAGTTTAGACTTGGTGTGGTAGGAAATGAGGAGTCACTGAAAGTTTTTGAGTGATTATAATAGCTCATAATTTTTGGTACTTTAAGGTTCATAAAGAAATTTACACAAATTATCTCATTTGATCCTCACAACAGCCCTGTAAAGTTAAGGACTATAGGTATTATTATCTCCATTTTATAGATAGACAAAGTGAGGCTTAAAGGTTATGTGACTTGCCCACAGTCACAAAATTGGCAAGTACTAGAGTCAGAATTCAAATTTTGGTCTTTTTCAGTTCCAATCCCAGGACTCTCTACTACATCATACTTCCTGGAAAGAATTTTTAAAAGATGAGCCTACCAGTCTTATATAAATAACAGTTGCTAGTATTCCTATTATCATTGAAGATTAGTCTGGCAGTGATCAGAGGACTTGGAAAGAGATGGGATTGTGGACACCTGCGTAGAGAGATATTTCTTCCTTCCTCTGAGACTGGAGGAAAGAATGAAGGGATAGATGGAAAGATAGAGATATATTTAGGTGGGGACAAAGAACTTATCTGGATGGCTTTGGTTTAGTGTAATAATAATAATACTCTAAGTGTAATAATAATATTTTACATTTGCAAGAGATAAATAAAAGCATTGTTTGGCAGTGGGAACACCCATGTGGTGTTAAGATGGATTTGTAGTGTAATAGGTAGGCACAAGACTGTCTTCCTCTAGAAACATTCTGTGGTTTGGTAGCTGGAATGGAGAAGATGGAGAAACCCTGGAAGTGATTCAGCCTCCGGGGGAGATTGGAATGATGGTAATGATTAAAGGTCCACCAGGCAAGGATGTTTAGCTGGTGGTGAGATCATTACTGAAGTGATTCATG